AACAGTTATTGGTGACTACAGTAGTACAACAGTTATTGGTGACTACAGTAGTACAGCAGATATTGGTGACTACAGTAATACAACAGTTATTGGTCCTATGAATATCTATTGGTAATAATGATTGTTCTTAGCTGTGCAAGTTGTATTACATAAATAATCATATTGAATTAAGCTGGATTATTGTTACTACAAACAACTTTCAAACCTATTTTAGTATCCGTCATGTTAGTAATAAAATATACCACATATTATCACTTTAAGACATTGGATTTTTAAATTTCTTAATATGGAACTAAACACGTCAAGGAAGCATAGCATTGTCCCTTTCTAGCTAATACTTATCGTTAGACACCACAACAAATGTAATCATTCTTTCATCGTTTATATTGTACTTGAATATATTCTCCAAATCACTTTTTAAACATACTGTATGAAATAGAAAAGTCTTCCGCGAGGACAACGGTAAGTCTATGGACTTACAACGCTAAAATCCGGGATTCGATTCTCCGCAGTGGACACAGCAGATAGCCCAATGAGGCTTTGATTTAAAACAAACAAGCAAGATATAAAAAAAATAGTTCATAGGATAAATCAGACACGATCGTTGAAGTTACTAAATGCCACGGTAAACATTATCGTAAACTATAGTTATACAGATTAATAAAAAAAATAGAAAAGTTTCTAAATATAAGAGTTACTAGCAGAGATTCGCAAAACATTTGCAGTCAAATTAGTATCTTTATTGCAATAATACTTCTTTAAATATAAGATTTCTAGAATTATATAAAAATAAAAAATTCTATCGCAAACACCGAAATCTAACTTGTGTACGATTTTTGCTTTAGTTTAGTTAGGACTGAAATGTACCGTACTTAATACTATTAATAAATAAACTACTAATGTTATTGAACGACCTAACGTTAGACCTTTTTAAAACTTTGATAAGATTTTAGTATACTGTTTTACAAAATGTCTACTAAATAAATTTACGTCCGCCTTTTTGTTTATATCTGTTGAAATGAAAATATGCGCACATGCGCATTTAAACAGTAAAGTCTTCGCGTATATTCAGGACTGATAAAACTGAGTATTATTATGAAAGGTGTTGTTTTTTTAGGAAAGACAGCGTTTTGCAGCAGCTAGAAATTATAGTTTTGAAGAGCTTAGTCAAGGAATGAAGAACGGCGTTGTGACTGTTGTTTTGCTCCTTCCCGGCTTCCAGGTCTAGAAGAATATTTTTATAAATTCTATAATTGTTACTAATGATAATTTGTAAAAGAGGAACACCTTTATTTATTTATTTATTGTAAAAATGGAATACTAGATCAAATATTATTTCTTTCCATTGTTACCTGGTTTCAAAAGTGATATTTTTCTTTCCAGATTTTAGTCAAGATTAATGTTTAAGTCCAAACTGTAGGAACGGTGGAACTTATTTTCACCAGTGTTTTAATCATAAATTCATCATATAGAATGTGTTTATGTACTACATACAAGTTTAATCTAACGATCCCAAGGTACAGGAACATACAGTATGTATTTATGTACGACATACACGTTTAATTTAACGATCCCTAAGCTACAGGAACATATAGAATTTATTTAAGTACTACACACACGTTTCTTTTAAAGATCCCTAAACTACAGAAACATATACTCAAGTTTGTTTTAATTATTATCAAATAATAAATAAAGCCTGGATATTCTTTTTCTCATGTTTACTTTTATGATTATCAGACAATAAATGAAGCCTGGATATTCTTTTCTCATGTTTATTTTTATGATTATCAGACAATAGATATGGCCTTGATATTTGTTTTGATTTAGAGAATCTTTTGCGAAGTGGAAGTCTAACAATGCTGACGACTTTATGCTAACAAAAAAAAAAAAAAGAATCAGAGAATAAATTAGCTTATTTTGTCATTAATAGTTTCCATTTACAATTTGTTAATTTAGTTTTGTATCTTTAAGTTTGAATACGACATGACACATATTTCAGGCATCACAGAGGCCACCATACGATGAGGTTCAGTTTCGTGTTGTTGTCGTAGAACTTCTTGGGAAACTCATGAACACCATCATGGAGAGGAAGGTTAGTTGCAATATGTTTTTCGTCAAGTTGTAATTACACTAGTTTATGGTGAGAGATGAGAGATAAGTACTTCATCAAATTATGGTTATATTAATTTAATTATAAAATGGTGAGCTGCTATAAATCTTTGTTTAAGTAGTGGTTACATTAGCTTTCGTTTGCTGTAAATATTTCATCAAGTTGTAATTACATTAGCTTGGAATATACACACACACATTCCAAATTAAAACACTTCATTGTGTACCCTGGTGTCTGTATATCTTCAGCTACATTACAAAGGATATCTCGAGTTCAAACCAAACTCAGTTCATATTGTCTATCATTAACTCTCACATTTATCTCGCACATTCTTGTTCTTAATGTTGAATGAAAATGTGACGACGTTTTGGCTTCTATACTGAGGTCCTGTTCCATTTCACAGGCAATCGCAGCCATTTGAAGTTCTCAGACCTATTAAGTGTAATGTTTATTGTCAAAACCTGTAAGTTAAGAGTACAATAAGTTATGAGTTTTAAATGTAATACTAACTGTTAACATCGGCAAATCTAGGAGGATCCGCAGTTTGAGTTTTATTTGAAGGGCTGATGTTTTCTTTTCTTTTTGTGTTTAAAGAAAGATACTCCAAATGCTTTACAATACTATGTTCCTGGTTGTAGTACAACATTAGTACTAAGTATAACAGTTGTTTTTTGTGTTTTTAATATAACATTAATGCTGGTTTCTGTGCTTTCAATATAACAATGATATTGTGTTCTTGCGCAGTTTAACATGAAAACTGTGTTATTTTCTTTACGGATAATATTAATACTGAGTTTCGTTCTTTCTGTATACTTTTAATAGTCTCCTTGGGAATAACTCAGTATCGGTAATCTAAATGAGAACATTATATAAGTTTTTAACTGTTATTTCTAAAAAAACATTATAAGTTAGTATTATATAACGAGATACATAAACCTGAAATTTATCTGAATGTGTAGGCAAACATATTTTCGTAACTATACTGTTATTACTCAAATAAACAGTGCTGAAAAGTAGTTGTATTTTTATTTAGTTAAGAGTTTTTGTTTGTTATTTATATTCAGAAAAATGTATCTTCCAATGATCCAACATTCAAAACACAATTCGAGAGTCAAGACTATTCAGCCGATAATGTTGTTTATGTTAGGCCTACACCAAAAACAGTTGGAAAAACATTAACGATTAGTTTTCTAGTTGAAAACATTACAGAAGAAGGTAAGTTGAAATATTACTTTATCGTGTAACTAACAACATTCTGAGTCATTAAAGTCTGTGAAATAATAACGATAAATTCAAAATTCATATCTTAAAGCTTTTGAACAGTGTGGCTTAAGTAGAGTAGAACTTAGAAGAGACGTAATGTTTAAATATTTTAAAGATAACGTAATGTAGTCAGGTTTTGTTATTATAAGTATAGTATAACACACTTAAGTTAAATTTATTACTATTATTATATATAAAAACGAAATGTGTGCTTGTATTAAGTAATTTATTTGGACTATCATCGCTTTTTTTTGAATGCACAAGCTTTCGGCTCAATTACCTAAGCCTTCTACAGGTGCGAGACGTTTAGTAAACAGCAGGATCTAACGGAACAATTTGAATCACAAGTTGCCTAGCAACAACGAAAAACAAGAACGTGCCCTAAGTTTCTTTACAGCAATAAGCCTGAAGTCTAATAAGCTAAAATAATAATGTTACAAGGTCAAGAAACATAGTAAGCCATATTATTATTGTGGTTTTTTTTAAACATAATGCTAGAAAGATATAATCAACAGTAAAAATAAATAAAGTAAGTAAGATCAACAAAGAGGATTGTGGTCCTCCTATGGGCATTAACCAAAATCATGAATTCCCCCTTCATACTTGCTGGTTACCTTTCATTAAAGAAACCAAACCATGCATTGATTCTAATGCTGTTATAAAAGTAACCTCATTTTTTTTTCATTAAATAACGTGATGATAGTCCAAGTAAATTACTTAATACAAATATGAGTACTTACGTTAAAAGCCTGAAAAGAGACGTGTGTTTGTTTGCACCCTAACTCCTATGAGCCTATTGGGCCAATCTCAACCAAAATTTGTATGTAAACACTATGAATTATAGGGAATGACCTAAGGGGAGTCAAAATTGAATTTAACCCAATTTCTATTTTGTAAAGCTTGTTGGTTAATTGTTCCCAGTCTATTAATTTAATCTCAAACAATCTTGGCAGGTCGACGCTTTAGACAATGTTGAATATTCTAAAGGGCTTCAAGGTCAAAGTATGAAAGTTCATGTATTGTTTCTCAAACAACAATGCTTTTTCTCATGGTGTTTAAGATGTAGGGTGTTCAAGGGTGGGATCACTTCAAAATATTTATTTGTTGGTTGATGGAAAGCGAACTTTTGTTTATGAAGAAGCTTTGTTATAATTTTAAAATTTAGAGAGAAATACTCTTAAATTTCAGATTGGTATGTGAGAATATTCTGTGATGTTCATAGATCCTTGTAAAAGCATAAGCCGAAACGTCGGGTCTACTGTGAAACTACTGTGATTTATTCTGATTAAACCTTATTGCTCGAAAATATTGATTATAGGGTAAAAAAAAATAGCACTATTTGTTGACTTATAACTAATAATATTAGTATTTAAATAACACAAAGCTGTATTATGTATTTATTTGTAATAATTCCGCATGTTAAATCTCACCGTTCAAAGTCATCGATTCAACCAGGCTTGAAGTTATATCTAACAAGCGGACATGGCCGTCGACTGACAATGTTTAAAGTTAATTAAACCAATCTAAGTTTAACAGTAACCATACATTTCAAAGTAATAACTTGAACAAAAACTTTGAAACTAGTGTAATTAGAACTTGACGAAGTGGGTAAAAGATAAAACTGTTTTGTAATCTCTGACGTTCATAGACCACTGAAAAAGACATAAGGCGAAACGTCGGGTAGAATAAAAAACATTTATCAGAAGTTGTTTGTCGTCTTCATTGAAAATAGTTTCCATCCTTCAGTCAACATAGGAACTTCTAACATGTGACTTAAAACTTAGGCTGAACTAATAGATAAGAACTTCTAACTTGTGACTTAAAACTTAGGCTGAACTAATAGATAGGAACTTCTAACTTGTGACTTAAAACTTAGGCTGAACTAATAGATAAGAACTTCTAACTTATGACTTAAAACTTAGGCTGAACTAATAGATAGGAACTTCTAACTTGTGAATTAAAAGTTAGGCTGAACTAATAGATAAGAACTTCTAACATGTGACTTAAAATGGCTGAACTAATAGATAAGAACTTCTAAC